GTATATGAAGTCGGATTGAGAAAAATCCAAGCCAACTTCATATATATAAATAAAATTGGATTGACAAAAGCCAAAGCCAACTTCATATATGCACAGCACATATATAAAGTTAGACTTCTTATTAACTTTAATTATAATTTTATTAATTTATAATTTTTTAATATAATTGACTATGATATTTTAAAATAGGCAATGATTAATATTGATTATATATATATATATATATGCTGTGCATATATGAAGTTGGATTGAGAAAAATCCAAGCCAACTTCATATATATAAATAAAATTGGATTGACAAAAGCCCAAGCCAACTTCATACATGCACAGCATATATATAAAGTTAGACTTCTTATTCATTTTAATTATAATTTTATTAATTTATAATTTTTTTATATAATTGATTATGATATTTTGAAATATTTATTTATAAATTAATTTGAATATGTTAAATAATAAATATTAATTATTTAATCAGTTATTAACTATTTTTAACAACCAAATTAAAACAAAAATTTAACTGTTTTGATGGAGATAACAAATTTAATGATCCCATAACCATAACCCAAACCATATCCTTCCTCCACATGACGTGTATAAGAATGTTCAGATTCCGCAGTCCAAAAGGCCTTTAAAACCAGTAATAACCAGAATTAATTTTAGCTAGTTTCAAATCTTCACTTACGATGCCGGAGAATTGCATCTGATACTCCCTCAACTCCGATGAGTTCCGTCGCAGCTTTAGGATCAGGTCACTACATTCAAGCACACTGATGTATGTTTTAAAGGAAAAAACTAAAGTATATGTTCACACGTACAATACAACCACATAAATTGTACTTTAATAAAGTTCATTAATTTCATAATATAACCGATGGTGAAATCCATTGATTAGAAAAGGTTCCAAAACCTTGATAAGGTTTGACAATGCCGAAGCAGCTGTTCTCACGGTGGAACCTTTGTTCGGCAGCATCATTCTTGCAAGCGGTGGTAGGGCCCCTTGAGATGGCAAAACATTTCTCAACTCTCCTTCACCAGCTACATTTCCCAATGCCCACGCACACTGCTCAGCAACAGGGAGGGAACTTTTTTCTACAAATAAGGCAATTTTGACATACATTAGCTCATTAACATTTTTTCCTAGTAGAAAGATTATGTTACTAAGACGTTGAAAGATTAGGCATTTTTGTTCAGTTAATAGAGGCAGACTATCAAACACATCATAGAGGTTATATACAACAAGGTTTGCAAATTAACACCAAGTTTAATAAGGGATTAATATCAAAATTTATAAGATATGAAAACTAAAGAGTGATATTTCACAAGAACCCAGCTTCATTTCTGGAAAATATTGCCTGAAAGAGGCCACAATGACCTGTTTATGAATAGATAAGGAAAAAGCAAAGAAGAACTCCTTTCATGATATGAGAAAGAATAGACCAGTCATCTCTGACCTCCAAGGTGAGCAATAACGGAAGGTAATGCAGGCAACAGTGCCTTTGTTTCTCGTGGTTTTCCAACTGCAACATTTTTAAGACACCAGGCTGCCTCTAGAAGCTGTGGTATGACAGACAAAACAAAGACATCAAAATATATTTGTTTAAATTCCTAGAATTATCACTTCACTTAAAACTCTAAATGGTCTGAAGAACACAAATCTACTAGATGCATGATTAATTTAAGTGAATCTTATAAGGATAAACTTGTGCAATAAACTAAAATTTAGGATTACGCTTATAGAGGGAAGAGAAACATTCCTAATGGCAAAGCAATGAAATCCAAAATAACTTCAATTCTTCAAACCTGTTCATCTGGAGAGCCAAATGAAGGACACTGAACAAGTAAGGGTATAGCTCCCGCTGTAAGAGCAGCTTCAACTGGACGGAACTGAGATGTGGACAATAAATGCTGCAGTTGATGAAGTGCTTTCACCCTCTTCTGCATTGCCATTGCACCATTTCCCGTAATTGTTTAATGAATACACAGTAAGCCAAATATAACTAAACAATGAGTAAAAATCATTATGCCCTTTGGCCCGAGCAATCATGCAACCAGCTACAAGAAAACAGCTCTTAAGACTCGAGCATACCCAGACAGCTTAAACCTAGGCATGCGTACTGAGAAGGAACATCAAAAAGTTCATAAACTTCAGTTCAATTGATTAACATTATCAAAAACCAGGATTCAAAGGCGAAATATAAATAAGTAGAAGAAGAACCTACATTTGTCTGTAAAGTTACTTCTTTTCTTCAGAAGGCTTATCTTCATCTTTTTCATTAATTTTCTTCTTTCACCACACTGAATCCCTCCACTGATCCTATTTTCCCAGAAACTTAAACAAAATTTGCTTACATGCTTTCATCTTCTGCCCAAAAAATGAGATAAAATGAAAACAAAAAATGAAAAATTACCTGAAGCAACTTGTTTTCTCTTTCTCTTCTTGATGGAAACTGACGGTTCCCTCGGTTCGAGGCTTCTATTATCGAACAACGGCAAGTCCTCCACCTTACTATCAGTTTCTTTCTTGTCCTACATGAAAATACAAGCAACAGAATGAATTCATACGATAATAGATACTGAAATATGAAATAAATAGAAAAGGGGGAAAAAGCATTAGAAATCCGGAGGTTTAGCGGGGCCAAACGGAGAAAAATGGAACCTTGAACCAATCAAAAACACCGGCGAACTTCTTCTTATCCAAGTTGGTGCCGCCGAATAGAAAGGAGCTCCAATTTTCCATTGGCGAAGATGAGGAACACTTCCGAAGTGGAAGCGAAGTCACGCCGGTGGCAAAGTTGGGGTTTAGACTAGTTCTTTCTCAGTCCTCCGTAGAGGTTAGACGCAAGAGCAATGTGGCTATAGTGCTAAACCCAATCTGATAATCTAACCCAACCCACCCCATTAAAAAACTGATCACAGCCTTCTGATCGGTGACCGTGCGGCCCAATTACTTTGGGCTGTTTAGCTCGATTGTTTTGTTTCTATGAAAAGTTTTCTCTTTAAAACTGAAAATTTTTAGAAGAAAAGCTTAACTTATAAAATGAGAGAAAAAAAAAAAAAAAAAA